GGGCAGATGTAACAGTAATTCCCCCTGGCATAGTTGATCCAAGTAGGATCCAGCCGACTCTAGTTGAGTTGTTTGGGGCTGGTAGAACAAAATTAGAAACTGTAGGTTGTGTTAGAGCTAATATCCAATACAGAGATGTTAAAATAAATCACATGGTATACGTAGTGAAGGGACTCATAACACCCTTGCTTGGTCGTCCAGCAATACAGGACTTGAAGATTTTAACTTTTGTTAATTCAGTTGCAGAGGTAGACAGTGACTTTTTTACCGAATACCATGAAATGTTTAGTGGTCTGGGCGTCATTCCTGATCCCTACACAATAGCACTTAAGGATGGCGCAAAGCCATACGCAATAACCACTCCTAGGACAGTACCTTTACCCCTAATGTGTCAAGTGAAAAAAGAACTAGAAAGTATGGTACAAAATAATGTAATCACACCAGTTGAGCATGCTACTGAATGGTGCTCAGCAATGGTAGTAGTGCCTAAATCTAATGGAGATGTCCGCATATGTGTTGACTTAACAAAGTTGAATGAATCCATCCAGCGGTCTTATCATCCGATTCCCAAAATTGAAACGTCTCTCAGCTCAATCTCAGGAGCAAAATGGTTTTCAAAACTTGATGCAAACAGTGGTTTTTGGCAAGTCCCCTTAAATGTAAATTCCCAGGATCTAACTACTTTCCTTACCCCTTTTGGACGTTTTAAATTTCTCAAACTTCCATTTGGAATCACATCAGCACCTGAACATTTTCAGAAATGCATGAACAAAATCTTAGACAACCAGTCAAATGTCGCAGTCCATATGGACGATATTCTGATTTGGGGCAAAACGAAAGAAGAACATGATACAGCTGTTCGGCAAGTACTTGAAAAGCTTAAAAATGTAGGAATGACACTTAACAAAGACAAAACTGAGTTTGGGAAGTCAAGTATTAAATTCCTCGGGCATTTCCTCTCATCCGATGGAATTTCTGTTGATAAGGAAAAGGTTTCCGCCATTCTCAAAATGGACTGCCCAAAAAAACGTAAAAGAACTTCAAAGGTTCAATGGGATGGTAAACTTTCTTGGTAAGTTTATTCCTGACAAAGCTAAGATTTTGGCCCCAATGAATTCACTACTTCAAGCTAACGTTCCATGGATATGGGGTCCAGAGCAGGCGAAGGCATTTGATGAAATAAAACTCATTTTGACTAACTCTCCTTGCCTAGCCATTTACGATGTAAATCGGGAAACAATTATCTCCTGTGATGCCTCGCTTCAAGGACTAGGATCAACTCTTTCTCAAGTTCAAGATGATGGTTCTATACGACCAGTATCATTTGCATCCCGAAGCCTTCTTCCTTCTGAAAAAAACTATGCAAACATCGAGAGGGAGGCTACAGCTGTTGCTTGGGCATGTGAAAAGTTTCAAGAATTTATTATTGGCAAGAGAATAACAATACAAACAGATCACAAACCACTACTTCAAATTTTGAAATCCAAACATCTTGATGAATTGTCTCCAAGAATACAAAGAATTCGATTGCGTCTCATGAGATATGATTTTTCAATTACTTATATTCCTGGAAAGCAGCTTCTAGTTCCTGATGCTCTTTCAAGAGCACCTCTCCCATTTTCAGGTACTGATGACCGTGAGTTAGAAGAAGAAACTCAAGCGTTTGTTCAAATGGTTTTGTCGTCCATCGATATAAACGACTGCATAGTTGCTAAAGTATTGGAGGAACAAAATAAAGATCCGACTTTACGTGAACTGAAAAAAATAATCATCCAAGGTTGGCCTTCTAAGACATCATTACGAGATGACCTAAAACCGTATAATTCAGTTAAGGATGAGCTAAGTGTGGATAATGAGATGATACTACGAGGTTCAAGACTTGTAATTCCGCCAGCTCTGCAGTCTTGGGCACTTCAAAGAGTACATGAAGGTCATTTTGGAATCACCAAGTGTCGTTTACGTGCAAAAGAGTCAGTCTGGTGGCCAGGAATTTCTTCAGCCATTGAATGTATGGTGAAATCATGCCCTACTTGTATTAAACATTCAAGGAACAGTCATGAACCATTGCTTCCCACACAATTCCCTGACAGGCCATGGAAAACACTTGCGATGGATTTGTTCAAACTTGAAGGCGTTTGGTTTTTGACTGTGACAGATTATTACTCCAGATATTTTGAGATAGCTGAATTAGAGTCATTAACATCACGAGAAGTAATAATGAGATGCAAAGCCTTTTTCTGTCGACATGGCATTCCAGAAGAAATTAGGTCTGACTGTGGGTCTCAATTTCAAGTCCTTGAACATTCAGATTTCAAGACATTTTCCAAAGTTTATGGCTTCAAGCATGTAACAAGTAGCCCAAAATTTTCCCAAAGCAATGGAGAGGCTGAAGCGGCAGTGAAAATCGCCAAAATGATTCTAAAGAAAAATGTGGAAGACCCTTATTTAGCGCTTCTAGCCTATCGAACGACACCCCTCTGGAATGGGTTCAGTCCCTCTCAGCTTCTTATGAACAGGCGATTACGGAGCACATTGCCTCAGACAGGACATTTGCTTTGTGGAAAACCAGATCTAAAGGATCTTAAAGGGAGAGAAGAAACATATCGTGAGAAGTACAAACACAACTATGATAGAAGGCACAAAGTGCAAACTCTCAATCCTCTTCATATAGGAGACCCAGTTTGGATTGTGGACCTTAGAAGACATGGCAAAATTGTGAAAATCCTGGACAGCCCTCGTTCATATATTGTTGAAACTGATAAGAGGAATGTGAGAAGAAATCGATTCCACCTCAAACTTGCCCCTTATTTAAGAGAGGAAAACAGTGAACAAAATTTGTCAGCAAATACACATCAAACAGAACCATACAACCGTCCAAAGAGAAATATACAAAAACCAAGCTGGTTGAAGAACTTTCAAACTTAAAAGGGAGGATGTTGTGAGAACAGTTTATTTCATAACACCTGTTAATTTCTATTAATTATTATCATATGTTTATTTGTTATTCTATGTTTGTGAAAAGGTAAATAAAGTTAGTTGAGTTTGAGTTATGACATAAAACAGTGCATTCACTTAATTCCTAGTAAAATATTACACATAGTAAGACTTAGGCCCGGGACTGATTTACTTTTTCTTTTATTTTAAATGCCTCTGATGCGACGAAAACGAAACATAAGACAGGAGGCGTAATCGTGATAACGACCGCAGCTACAGAACAGTGGCGCGTAATAGGCTTAACTCATCACAGTCAGCACCTGACCCTGGACAATCTCAACTATTAGGTTACAAAATGCTCCCTAACACTACCCCAAAACTACTTTTCGTTCTCAATTGGCCCTCTATCAATGACCTGTGTTGCCTATACAGCGAGGCATTTTGAGAAGGAGAAAACCGGCCGGTATGCTTTAGGTTTATCAATAAGGAAGATAAACATGGTCTGAGTTACACACCGGTAATCTTTGAGTTGACTCTTTTAAACTCATTGTAAATATGACTGTTATTCATTTTGAAATAACTCCTGTAATACACTTTGCAAATGCTCGAATTCGAGCAACATGTACAATAGTTTAAATTAAAGCACTCTGGTTTTATTTATAAATTTTGGTAAATGAATATAAATTTCACTGTTTTCTTCTGAAGTTAACTATTCTAGTTTGCATCATGGTTAATGTTGATATACATAGTTCATGAGTGAGATAAAAAAGTTCATAGTCTATGAGATACATAAAAATGAATATAATGATTTTTAGTTATTTTTTTATTAAAATGTTAATTGTGTTGCAGTGTGTTAATGAATTAAGGAAAGATTTCAAGGCCATGCAAAACAATCTTAGAGACAAGGCCAAGCTGGAAGAAATTATATGTAGGCTATAGTGAAGTTTTCATGCAAAGGAAACATAGGCTGATGTGTTGACTTTGTCAATGATTTGTGAAAATCCATAAGACAAATAAATTATATGATTGATTGATTGATTGTGATGACTGAATTCCGAGTTTTACATTATTTATTTACAGATACGCCTAACGCATTAAAATTTACAACACATGAAAGCTGATGTTGTTGGTAGGATTACGTGAGGAATACAATGCTAGGATTCAAAAAAACAAAAATCGATCAAATAAAAATGCTACAGAAGTAATTTTTACTATTGTTTTGGAGTGGTAGGACAAATTTGAAAATGTTTAGTGTTGTACACCAAATGATAACTACTAAAAACCCGTTATTATAAAATTACTTGTTCCTTACATTCTTACACTTCATGGTTATGAAACCCCCTTTTAACAGGTCTTGTTAAAGGAGCCAGACTACTCCAAGATGTACTCAATTCACAAAAGGAAAGTTGGAACTTAACCTAAAACCAGTGACTTTTAGATACTAAAGTATTCATAACCAGCTGTCACCAATATAAAAAAAAAACATAGTCCAATGAGCTTAAAGTTATATTTTCACCCTTGGTTTTTTATACTGAGATAGGTACTATATGTGACATAATCAGTAATTTACAATATCATAATCATAATTATCCTTATATATAATACGTGAAGGCGATTTCTACGTAACCCTACTCCTCCGATAATAATGGACGTATTTTTAAAAACGATGTGTCAAAATTAAGTATTTTTTGAGTAGACTGTAATAAAAGTCTTTGGGCTCTGCCCCACAGGTCATCAAAATCCTAATGTATTTCTTGTGAAAGGAAAGATTTTGTTTCCTTAAACAGACAAATAATTTGTATTAATTACAGCTGTTCATAGTAAACACATATGAAACACACAAGAGAGTTTACAGAGTGAGTTCGTTTTCACACAGTTTCGATAACTGGAGTGAAGTGATTGATTCAATTGGAGTTGACTCTTTTATATCATAGGAAATTGTGACTGTTATGGTATTTGTATTGAAATATAACGTCTGTAATACTTTGCAATTGCTCGAATTCAAACAACAGGTGCACTAGTTTTGATTCAATATCTGGAGCCATGGGGTTGGAGTGTCAAGTTACCTGAGAAGTTGAGTGTTCTCAACGCAGGTCTATCTGGACTCAACTGTTTGTAGGAAGGTCCCGGTCGAGGCTTATCTACCCACGCTTCTTTGCATTTGACTACCACAACACCAACATAGCAACAAGCATTAGCACAATGTAAACCACTTGTCAATCTGGGCTGGCACGGATTATATGTTCAACGGTCTAGATAACCTGCTTGTGGATATTGCACCAATGTTTGTTGAATTCAAAGTATTTTTTTTAGATCTATTATAAAACCTATTTAAACATTTTTAGGCTCATAGGCATAGGTTTGAAGAAACATCAGGTTCAACTGAATGGGAAACCCTCAAAATTTTACACTGCAGGCCTACACAATAATTAGAATAGAATGTATAGAATATTTGATTGTCAGTATTTTCAACTAAGGTTCGAGTAAGGAAGAAAATCGTCTTCAGGACTTAAACATCTTTTATTGTAATCCAAAACTTTGCTTGGTTGAAAATGATGTCAGTGTCAGTCAAGTATTCTAATGATTGCTTAGGGTGCAACTTTCATTGATGTATCTTGTTCCAGAAACATTAATCCACTCTATTCAGGTAAGCCTGCTTTCCCAAAAACATTCCTTAAATGATTGTATTATATTTTACTTTTCATTAAATTTTATCCAAACAATTTTGGTAAAAAACTTATTATAGGCCTACACTATTTAGAAAAGAAGTGAAGATAATGATAAGAATTCTCTTTGTGGAGGTTACAATGTATTTTTTACTAGAGTTAATAGAAAAGTATCTATGACTTAAATTGGGGAGTGTTAGACATTTTCTACCAAATTTTGTAAATTCACTTTGGCCAGTAATGATCCTTGCTAATTCAAAAGCCTATAGGTTCGGTTAAAAAGTTGAAACACACCGAAGCTTATGTTATCATGTGCCAGCCCTGGAGAAAAAAATGCAAACAGAAAACAGCACATATTAAAATCAACAGTGAACCTACTGGAATAAATTGAAAACATGTATTTAATAGATACGAGATAAAAACAAAACAAAAACAAACAATTTTCATGTGCAGAAATAGCCAAACTCAAAAAGTGGGTGAGGTGCAAAAGCATAACAAGCCATGCAGTCAGTGAGCGGAGACTCAATGAAAAGTATCACACAGAAAAATGCAGCTACTTACCCAGAAAAATCCTCTCGTCAAAATCCCCAACACTTAGGACATACTCTTCATACAATTTGTTACAAGCTTTTAAGTTGATTTCAAAATTGTTCAGGTCTAATAATCCGCTGAATGTTTTTGGGTCTCCTTGGAGAATCTGAAAAAAATTACTCTGTTAATAAAACTAACTAGTGGCTTATACTTTGCTAGAACAAAGAGTCATGTGAAGAAAAGATAGATGATTGAGATGCCAAGTTCACAATCAAACCTTGGAATAACAAACAAGAGCGTTAGAGGATATGTTCATGTGTTAGCATAACTTGAGATATTTAATTTGCAGGCATTTGTTGATACTTGTGCAATGTTACAGGTGAAGGAACCCGAGCTGGCCGCCCTAGCAGACCAGGTGGACCTGAACCAAGACACTGGAGTGGCCAGTGACAGTTCCAGCTGCTCTAGCTCCAGCTCCAGCGACTCCAGTGATTCCAGCATGTCAGACAGCGACTCGGATAGTGGGCAAGAATCACTCTCGGCCAAGAAGAAGAGGTGCGTGTGTAGACATTTTAAGTTTTTGGAATGCTATTGATTTTTTGTTGTGAGAATGATAATTGGTATAACTCAGGGTTGGATTATTGGCCCCTTTTTATTTATGTATGGATCAAGTAGCCTTTGAAGTAACGATATCATTACAGTACTTTAGTTAATTATTTTAAAACAGCGATGTCACTTATGTGCTTTCTTTTAGTTGAATTTAAATGCAAGATGGGTGTAAAATGTTGTGAGATGATCTGTTTAGCTTTGTTATTGACTTAAGATCAGCTTATGATTAAGGAAATGATAAAGGATAGCTGGACCCTATTTCAAACCATCAAAAAGCTACTAACTTTTTTCATGGGTTTTGCTTTCTTATTGCTAGAACAGAACCGGTATGGATCATAAACATAAACAAATGATGTCGCTGGCCTGAATTCTCTACTAATAGCATTATGGTTTAGACAGTTTCATTTAAGAAATGTTGAATAATGTTTATTTTCGGGCCAAAAACGTCATTTGTTTATGTTTATCTTTATGATCCATACCGGTTCTGTTCAAGTATTCATGGGCATATCCACTCAGCTCCCTAGCTTTTTAATTTTAACATGGGAAAGAGACATAAAAAAAAAAAAATTTCATTTTAGATTTATATTGAACTAGTGGCTTGTAGGGGCAATAGCCCCTATATTCTAGTAATTATTTTGTACAAATTATTAGTCTCATGGGTTACCCTATCTTGAATTATCATTTAGTTTTTTTTTTATTATGATATCTATAATAGTTATTACATACCTGCATATGCGTTTTGATGTCTGCTCTATTTAAAATACAAATTCCAAAGGACATGTGGTGTGTTTATGATATAAACTTTCAAATCATAATACAACTAAGGAACATTTTCCAATAACAATCTTCATGACTATTAATTAAATGTATATAGATTTCTTTAAAGATAGACAAATTCACTTAGAAAAACACATATAGAGATAATGTCATCATCCAAATTGTAAAATGCTAATTCTATAACAAAATCTCTCTGAAACAACATTTGTTGTATAGTATCCATTTTGGTCTATTCCTTGGCCTTTATTTGGTTCTAGTACTATTAACATCATCTACCCTCTTTACACATATAAAAGCAACATAAAGTTGACCATGGGTAAACACTGGGATTTTCAAATAAATGCCAACTTTTGTGAAGGTTCGGCCTTGCGCCACAATTTCACCAAATCAAATTGCGCAATGCACCACAATGAATGCATCCATCGTTCATTGGCGCTACGCTGTGTTATGCAATCTCTTTTAAAAGTGGTAATCTATACACAGGAATAACTTCGGTAATCTATACACAGGAATAACTTCATGATCATCCGATGCTCATTCATTCTTCTTCCATTAATACCGTGCCAAATCTGGCCCCTGTAGTTCTCATTTTGAGGAAAATACCTCTGAGTGGTAGTCTTCCGACATTATACATTATTACTGTGCAAACCATTGTAAAGATATATAGCTTTCTTAAGTTAAAAGTATCAAATTTTTTGTTCAAAAGATTTTATCTAATTTTCACTTTGTGCTGTTTACTACTTCACTAACAATTTTACAATAACAAAATAATGCACATTCAGGTGTGGTTATATTTTTTCAATTTATATAATCACAGCTGTGTTTGCACTAAATAAAAAGACATAAAATTAGATTCCCATGCTATTTAAATGTGAATTGTTTTATTCCGTAACAACCTTTTGGTGCATAATTAAGAAAAATGAATAATTTTCCCCAAAATTTCATGCTCAGACCTTTAAAATGAGACCTCTCCCAGCTTTCTACGGCCTCCCGTTCGCTCACAATTTCATTGTAAAGTTTTGGGCTTACGGAATTAGATATATAGATTAACTCTATATAATTTTCACAGCAAAGTAGCCTACAGGCTTATATCAAACATAGGAACAACTGTTGAAGCCTAGTTTATTGTTAGTTCTGTCCGGTACACTATAGAGGTTGTGCTTTGTTTACAATTTGTTTCTGGTAATTTCAGTCATTTAAAACCTTGTTTAACCAAATAAAACTATATAATCATAAATAATAACTCGTACCCTAGTTATATAACCAAACACTAAAGCACTAATCACAAAATTAACTCTAAAATAATATAAATACAATTGTTGTTGACAGTAGTGATCAGTGTCAGACAAGAAAAATGAGATTCAAAATTTACAATGGGATGAGAAGTCTACTTTTGGTTTGTTAGTCTGGTACAGGTATCTGCGTACACAATTAATATCAACAGTTCTTTGTAGAGCAAGCACTGAAAAAATCTGCCGAGTTTATAAAACAACTCTTGACATTAATGTAGCTAAACAATTTATAACACAAACTGCCTTTAACAAAACGGCTAACATACAAAGAAACAAAATATCAACACAGTACCTTTCTGTCAAAGAATCTCTTCATGTGGTTTTTCCAGAAATACTCTTTCATTCTCTTTGCTTCTACCAGACCACTTGCGTATTTTTGACAAAGGTGGTACATAACGCATGGTGGTTCAGTAGGCGGTTTATAACATCTTTCTCCATAATTTTTTGGAACACCTTTAACAAAACACTTGCATTGCATTTTACATAATATGACTACTGTAAGGCTTAAGAATAATTTAAACACAAGTTTCACCCATAACAAAAAAAATATAAAATTGTAGTTATGAGGATTAGTTTTAAGAAAGTACAACACATTCAATGCTAGGCAAAACAATGAATAAAGCATGTTTTGACTTTTACTTTGAACCGTTTCAGAGCAGTAGGCCTACCTTTTTTACTTTTCCCACCTTAAATTCCCTTATTAATGGTAATTTTCTAACTGTATTTTAACTGCTAATTAGACATACTGCTGATGTTAATTACCTGGAAACTTATTGTTGATCAGGTCCGTACGATCAGCCATCACAGCGTTAGCGAAGATGAGATCGCAACATGACAGGAGCAGATGTACACAACTGACAAGGTCATCACTACTGTCCGGGTTCTCTGATTTCACACTTACATAAAGTGTCCAGACAAAGTCAAACAACCGACTCGACGTGCAAGGCAAAGTCCTACGACACAATAATATACATTGTCAATGGCCATTGAAAGGGCACACCTAAAGGTTACCGGTACTTCCAAGTAAAAAACTAACATGTAATACATAAAATATGTTACATATGTGTTAGAAGCAAGATTGTTTCGACTATTGCAATGAATAATTTTTAGATAAGGCTATTTGTTTTAATTCAGGCTCATATACTAAGAATAACTTGAAACCCAAATCGTTTTTGGCACTTGATAATCCAACACAAGATAAGTTAGTCCAACACATTTTGATCAAGCTAAATGAGTAATTTGTATTCTAATAGTAAAAATTGGTGTCCGTAGAAGCCCTCATAGAACAGTCAAAATTTGGATATCATTAGGAGCATATCGTGCGATCTTGGCGACACTGGTAATCATCTCCTGCGATCACAGCAACACCTGTAAGGATGACCTTAGGTCTCGGTGACACTGGTCATCATCTCCCACGATCACAGCAACACCCGTGATGATATCCTTTGGTCTCGGTGACACTGGTCATCATCTCCCACGATCACAGCAACACCCGTGAGGATATCCTTCGGTCTCGGTGACACTGGTCATCATCTCCCACGATCACGGCAAAATCCGTGAGGATATCCTTCGGTCTCGGTGACACTTTCATCGTCTCCTGCGATCACGGCAACACCCGTGATCGTCCTTTCGGTTAACCAAACACACTCGGTGCTACCGCCTATCAAGTAACAGGTAGACGGTTGGACGCTAGGTTGGATATCCAGAGGAGTTCGCTATGCCGAGGTCAGATATGAGAGGTTGTTCTACTGTATTTTAATGACGTGTTAGGTATAGGTGTATAAACAAGTTGATTTTATCAATATTTGCTTAGCTTACAGAGTAATGTAAACAAGCCATATTATTTTATGGTATCCAACATTTTCAGTCATCCGAACTCTCTCAATCCCGTGGTTCTTGGATTATCAAGAACCAACTGTACCGGTACTTAAATATTTACTTAATTAGATCTACAAATATTTTGTCATTTCCTTCTGGATTGTAACAAAACATCAATGAAAAATACATTGGGTTGTTTGATTGCGAAAATGTAATATATCCAAATAAAGAAATAACGTTACTAAGCCTATTAGATCCATTAGCCCATAAACTTAGTATAATTTAAAGCTTGTAAATATAAAGTTATGAACCTTTGTTTCTTAGTTTTGTTTTGCCGGGGTTGATCAATCGTTGGCTCCACAAACATGTCATTAAACATTAGTCGGAATTTCTTAAATATCACATTTGACACATTGTAGTTCCTTTCCAGGCGGTTCAACTTGTCTCGGAATTCAGGAGAGAGATTCGTCATGTCAGCCCACTTTTTTGATTTGTTAAAAAATTGTAACAAGCTGAAACAAATAAATATGACAGGGTGAAGATTAATAGTTACAGTGTAGTTCACATGGTATTGTGAGCAACTGGTGTCGTACTGGAGACCGTCAAGTCATCCTTGAGAAATTGGAAGTTATTGTGGTCAGGGGTGCTTCTTCTGGTGAACTGTTGGTTGAACATGGAGTCCCCGAAGGATAAATTCTAGGCCCTCTGCTCTTTCTCCTAATGATAAACAACTTCAGTGGTGGGCACATATTACATGTATCCTATGTGGGCCATCATCAGGCTGTAAAAGGACATTTTCTTTCTTCACATGAAGAGTCATATTTAGTACATAAAAATAAACACATACACATTTAAACTCAATAAAAACATGGGCACAAAACATTTTTATGATAACTGATCGGTTGATAACAGACAACACTAACCCGGCAGAGTCAGAGTCCAGACTGCCGGTGGTCAGTGCAGTAGGTATACGTCTGTTATCTTATCACCTCAGGTTGTGTCCTCTCTACCACACTTCCCCTGACGGTGTCATACTTCAAATTCCATCAGACCAAGAGTTGATCATTATTTTGATCAATGCGAAAATTCAATGCACAGTATTATAATCTAGGCTTTTATAATAGGCATGATTTTACATTTTAGTGGTTGGATTTTAGTTAAGTTACCACTAGCAGAGTACCCGTCCTTCGTACAGGGTTGGCATATAAGTTTAAAAAGCTTATTGCAGTTATACTTAAGCTGGGGGAGGACACAGTTTGATAAAATTTGCTTCTTTAAATTTACGGTATACTATGGTATTAAAAATCTACCATAGCCATAATGTTCTACCACTTCACCTAAACAATAAATAATAAAAAATTATTAAAAATTCGCAAAGAAACACAAATTATTCATGACAACAATCCTACTTTGACAGTTCTCATTGCGTATCACAGTTTTTTGTTGCCGCTTAGTTCAAATTAGCTTTTTACATATAAATGAAAATATATATATATATATAGTGCTGCACCCTATTTGTTAATCTTATAACTTTTTAATACTTTTGCATATCATAGAACCAACTTTTTTAGTTGAAACAGCTGACTAAATTCTTTATCACTTTAAATATGAATACTTATAAGGTTAACATGGGGAACTACAGAGCCACTGGGGCGGAGCCTGAGTGGATTTTTGAGATAAGAATATTATGTTAATCGGAATTGTGAGCTAGCATCATGCCAAATTTCAGCCTAATCCGTCCAGTGGTTTATGCGTTGAACTTTAAACAAACTTTCACATTTATAATATTAGTAAGATAAATGTTTCGTGACCGTGTTCATAATTTGTTTAAAAATTTATTTATTTTCATGAGCTAAATATGGCGCTCTTCATATAAAAAAGAAAACTTTCTTAAGTGCTAGTGGGCTTTGTTACCAAGACCAGCTGTTTCATTAGTCAGAACCATTTTATTAAAAGCACACTGATCAAGGACAGCTGGGTCCAGTTTCGAATCAAAAAGCTATAGTGATAAGCAGATATAGGTAGCATATAGGTTTTTAGCCTACCCTGACCCCTTTTAAGAAGACCTCAAAGCTGGCCAAATACTTACATACCGGTAGGGAAAGAGACGAATATCTTCCTTAGGATTCAGACCACAACAAAAAAGATAATCCAATATAATATTTTTAACAGGCCTTAAGATCAGACTTAATAGACATTCATTATACCCTAGGCCTAATTAAGTTCATAATTTATTCCTCTATAGCCTAATGAATAACATTGGAATCCAACCCCATTTTACAAACTTTGATTTTGAACAAATTCCCGCATAGGCTATTAGAATATTAATCTAAGGTAGGTACCTAATGTGAAACCAAACTTGACCAAGATTTATTAACTTAACATAGCCTAGTTTATTTTTTTTAAATATGGAGTAGCTTATATGGTAAACAACTAAGCCTAACAATGCAGAAATAAGAATTTTAACTAACAATAATAGGCCTACTTGTTACAAGTTAGCATGATAGTTAAAACATGTCTACTTACCTTAGATTGCATAACCTCAGTAACCGTGTTAAGCTTACAAGATTTCCTTCTACCAGAGTGGAAGCTTTAGAAACAGTTGGGGCTACTGACTTTCGGCAAGCCACATATAGAGAGCAGCCTAGCCAATGAAGCTGGTCACCCTATACAAACAAGCATGTAATAGTTAATCTAAATAGGCCATTTAGTCAAGAGAGAAACTTATTTTATGGACAACAATTTTAAGAATAAAACAATAGACTACGAGGGTGGTTTTTAAACTAAGGGCCGGTTTTGCGTAGGCTAAGCAGTTTGGTTGTACGCCGCAACAAGGCTCTTCACCCTTTACTGCCATGATTTGTGAACAGAATGACACAATTTCCAGCTCTGTAGCTGACATGAATGCTTTGCTGTAAATTACAAATTTTGTAAACTAAGCTTATAAAATCTCCCACCGAATGTGAGAGAAGATCAGTGCTACATTTGTTATCGCAAGAAACATATCCGATGCTGACATTTGAATCGTGACTGGAGTTTATGACCCTCATGCAATGATAGTGGTTAAAGTAGAGAAAATAGGCTAGGAGGTTTCAAAAATGTACGTGAAAAAGTTCTGAAGAAATTATGTTAGGCTATTGGCAGGTAGGCCTACCCAGACTTCTTACAGAAGACCACAAAAGAAAAAGGATTTCACAGCAATTTTCACATTCCATAACCCACTTCAGCACTTTACCCTCAAACTCATTGCATTAGGGCCATAACTTAGCCCTCAGTCATCTTCCGAGCGAATCGGCCACCAATCTCACATCAAGGCTTTTAATCGACACAATAACTTAAACTAAGTCTAGCTGTTTTATTGTAAAATTATCAGAATTAAAAGGCATCCTATGGGCCTAGATAATCGGATTAAAGAAATAGACCTAGGTGGACATAAGTTAGGTATGACATTTGTTTAAGTTACAAGATGACTTTCCTATTAAAACTGCCAGAGTTTGCCTTTAAGTTGTGCGTGTAAACTAGACCTAGCTGTTCTGAATTTTATTCAGTTTTAATTGACTATACCGGTACTCAATTCCCGAACGTAGGGCGGGCCAACAGCTTTAACTTGTTCCGGGCTTAAAATAATAAATTATCCTGATTAATGAAACAGCTGATCTTAATCAGTTACAAAGCTACAAAGATCATCTTACAGCATTCTACTTTTATTATACACTCAAAATCCACTCATATTTGGGTAAAAATAGGCACCTCGGTGGCGTCCCCATCTCATAATGATAGACTAACTTAATAATAATAGACAATAGGTAGATTTGATTCCTTTAGGCATACAGATAATGCAGTAACTTAGGACAAGTCAAGAAGTGGACATGGTAAAAATACCTAACTTAAAACGAGATAAGAACAGAGAGACAAAGATTTTAATGTTGTTGTATCAATTTACCTAGGCCTATGGAAGCCAGCCGATTATTCAGAAACCAAAACTTTGACATGAACTTCATAATTCATACAACTAACGAAACTAAAAGCATAAGAAGTGTACACAATTTGCAAAATAACCTTGAAAGGGATAAAAATATGCCTCAGGTAAGTTAGTAAAGGGTTGTAATGTCTGTAGTAAACCAACCTCCAATGTGTAATTTTGCCTTATACTGTCATAGCTTTGCCAAGCTACGTAAGCCGTTTCTTTATCCATGTTCAATGCATGACACAAGTCTTGATGTTTCTTTAACAAATCTTCTCCTCCATCCGCACAACCCATTTTGAAATAATAACACTAAATTAAATCACTGACAATTTCCACTTTCCAGGTTCACAACACACCAACGCGAACGCAGACAATGTTTACTTTACTTTACTTGACGAATGTAATAGAGGTGAGTAACTCCGGAACGAACTACTCCGAAAGAACTACTCCAACTCCGGAACGACAAGTCCAACTCCGGCTCTTGGATCGGAGTTAGTTCCTCTCGGAACTAAAGATAGTCAAGAGACCGTCATTGGTTAAGATACATTATGTAATAAATTAAAAGTTGTTGTAGTAAATAAATATTTAAAATTTTAGAAAATCTGTTTAAAATGAATGTAGGCTATAATGAACAGTAATCGACTAATGAGAGGGGAGCAGCGGAACACCTAACATCACAAGAATACGACTGGAACGACTCACTCACTGCCCTACTGTTTCATAATTTCTCACTCCGGACACTAAAAACAAAAACTATGGTCCTATCCTAGCCTAGATTAATAATTATTCATTCCGCTTGTTCAATAACGATTACTGGAATGGAACCAGGAACTATCATCCAGAGGTGATGCGAAGAGGAACGATAGACTACTGGAACTATGAGCGCTGCACCAAAATGGTTAGTGAGTGAGTCTGAATGGAAGCGCTCCTCACTCCGATAGTCCGGTGTTCAGCGCTCTTCTAAACGGAGTTGGAACTACTCCGCGGAACTAGTTCCGACAACTCAATAACTCCGGAGTGAACGACTCCACCAAGTGAACGATAATTCCCATCTCTAGAATGTAACAAAGGCCTGTAAAAAGCACATAGCACAAAGCTGATGGCGGGAACAGAGTCTTCCAACACATTTATTATTCTTAAGAACATTCTTTAAATAATTAAATTCACGAGATGGAATGTGTGGAAAATGTTAATTAATTGGTCTGTATTAGTTTATTTGCATTAGTATTAGACCTAAAGTTTTTCCCATGGTAAATTGATTAATAATATTTTAGTATTTCCCACCCATCTTTTCCTTTTGGCGGGAAGGCGGGAATCAAACTCATGGACAATAGAAGAAAACATCAATGTTTCTCCGTATTATCATACTAATATATGCTAATATTATCGCTGTATATAATCGTGTATAGTAAATCGATTGTATTGAAATTATCACAATAATAAATAATATGAGACAAAGTAGCATAGAATATCCAACAAGTTAGTGTCATTTGACGTATTTTTGTGCTATCAGGTAATTTAATAACATGGGGTACTTGTATTGTATTGCATATGTGTGATGCTGATCAAAATGTACCATATATAAAACATAGTCCGTTTTATCTATGGATGTACAGTACTAACCAAAACAAATAGACTGTAGACTCCATCCCATTTTAAAACGTTTTTATTAGCTCGCTTTCTTGTCCGGTACAAATTTTGCAATCAATTTTATACTAACTTCCCGATGAGGTAGATAAATTAAACTTGAAACATAGCTCACAAATGGAAGACAATGCAATCTTTTCTTGCAAATTTTGATGCTTCCCGATGAGCTAGGGACTTGAAACATAGCTCACAAATGGATGGCAATGCAATAATATATCATTTAATTTTTATATTTCCCTTGGGCTACGCCCCATGGGCTTGTTTTTATTAGCTCGCTGTCCTACAAATTTTGATATCAATTCCAAACAAAGTTCCTGATGAGCTAGGGACTTGAAATTTGAAACATAGCTCACAAATGGATGACAATGCCATATTATTTAATTTAATTTTTATATTTTCCTTGGGCTACGCCCCATGGGCTTTAAAGTTTTCCATGTTTACATTTTGAAAGAATGTAAATATATCAACTAATTTAAAGTCAGCTATAAATACTTAAATTTGACAGTTCAAAGAGCAGAAGTTAAGAGGTACAGGTTATGCTCCCAAGAGATTTGATTTAAAATCACGTTTTACAATGCTGCTAAATTTCACAGGTCTCTATAGCACGTTTCTAGATGGACGTACTAAAGTCGGTAACTTTAAATGTTAATCTCTATAAAAATAACTTTGGGAATTTGAAATTCAGAGGGGGTCATAATTTGAAAATGTGACCTTTTGGAATTCCCCCTGGGCATTGGGCCCAAGACCAAAAAGTGTGACAAATTTCAACTCCCTACCCCGTGTAGAAGTGCCCAAACATTTGTATACCTGATCAGTGAGTGAAATAATAGTTGATATTAACTGAATTATTTTACCTTAATTAATTTGTCATATTTGTTTTTCATGAATAAATTTGTTTTTTTCTCATAAACTGTCGGTTGTATTGATTTTAACTGTTAATTCCATATATTATGAACATACTAATAAGAAAAAATAGCACTGCTGAACACAAGGTCCAGAATTGTAGAAAGTTTCTTTTCTTTGGATCATTTATCAGAAAGAGGCAGGCCAATGAAGACGTTTTAGACAAGTCATGTTCAACTAAAAAAAGCTCTATGACCATGCATGTTCGTACTTGGGAAGTCATTAATTTGCCTAATCTAAATCCTTTCACAAGTATTGCTTGTTTCAGGGTGTCTAGTTTATTTCCATTATAAAATTCAAGACTAATTCCAGACTTTTCAAGACTAATTCCAGATTTTTCAAGACTAGTTTTTTCAACAATTAGTGGTTGTTGATACCAAAATGTATCGATTCTCGATTCTTGATACCGATACCAACTTTTATTGCTTAACAAAATTTTCTGAATAATACTACACCAACCACTGTCTTTGTCATAAAGTAGTATTATGATAATGTGGTGTTTTAAGGTAAAGAAATAATGCAGCAATAAAAAATTCTAACTAGCAAATATGTTTTTTTTTATCATGAAATCTTCCGCGTACCGTACGTTTAGACATGCGGTTACAGAAACGTGATCGTCGTCGTCCGCTATCACGGCAAAATCATGAACATTTCCCGCGGCCTTGTAGCCATCAATGACATTATCGTCGTCTCCCGCGGTCTCAGAAACGTCATCGTCATCGTCCACGATCGCGGCAAAATCATGAACATTTCCCGCGGCTGTTTGGACATCACCGTCATCTCCCGCGGTCACGGAAACGTTATCGTTGACGTCCGCAATCACGGCAAAATCATGAACATTTCCCGCGGCCGTGTAGACATCATCGTCGTCTCCCGCGGTCACGGAAACGTCATCGTCATCTCCCGCGATCGCGACAAAGTCATGAACATTTCCCGCGGCCGAGCAGATATCATCGTCGTCTCCCGCGGTCACGTAAACGTCATCGTCATCTCCCGCGGTCACGGAAACGTTATCGTTGATGTCCACGATCGCGACAAAATCATGAACATTTCCCGCGGCCGAGCAAATATCATCGTCGTCTCCCGCGGTCACGGAAACGTCTTCGTCGTCTCCCGCGGTCACGGAAACGTCATCGTCGTCTCCCGCGGTCACGGAAATGTCATCGTCGTCTTCCGCGGTCACGGAAACGTCATCGTCGTCTCCCGCGGTCACGGAAACGTCATCGTCATTTTCCGCGGTCACGGAGACGTCATCGTACTCTCCCGCGATCGCGACAAAGTCATGAACATTTCCCGCGGCCGAGCAGATATCATCGTCGTCTCCCGCGGTCACGTAAACGTCATCGTCATCTCCCGCGGTCACGGAAACGTCATCGTCGTCGTCCGCGATCGCGGCAAAATCGTGAAAATTTCCCGCGGCTGTTTAGACATCACCGTCATCTCCCGCGGTCAAGGAAACGTTATCGTCGTCGTCCGCGATCGCGGCAAAATCGTGAACATTTCCCGCGGCTGTTTAGACATCACCGTCATCTCCCGCGGTCACGGAAACGTTATCGTCGTCGTCCGCGATCACGGCAAAATCATGAACATTTCCCGCGGCCGTGTAGACATCATCGTCGTATCCCGCGGTCACGGAAACGTCATCGTCATCTACCGCGGTCACGGAAACGTTATCGTCGTCGTCCCCGATCACGGCAAAATCATGAACATTTCCCGCGGCCGTGTAGACATCATCGTCGTCTCCCGCGGTCACGGAAACGTCATCGTCATCTCCCGCGGTCACGGAAACGTCATCGTCGTCGTCTACTATCGCGGCAAAATCGTGAACATTTCCCGATGCCGTGTAGACATCATCATCACTGGCTTTCGCGGTTACGTAAACGCAAGACGACGATCGCGGCAAAATTATGAAAATTCCCGACTTTGAAATCAAATTCAAGACTAAATCCCGACTTTTCAATACCATTTTGAAATTCAATACTAATTCCCGACTACTAGACACCCTGTTGTTTGTTCTTGAAGAGGGAAATGTATTTTGATGAACTAATGGGAATCAGCCACAGATGGTAATTAAATAACAAAATAGATTAAGACAATTGGTTTGATGAGATAGTTCAATAAAGCCTTCTTTGTCTGCTGTAAAGTCAGAGTATTACAATGGTATTACAAATTTGAGCAAAAATGAAAGAAAATACATTTGAAACAGCAAGTCTTCAAATAAACTTGTTAAATCGTTGTATTAATGGTTTTTTGTCCAAAGTTGTCTCATTGAGAATCGAGTGTGTGGGAAATATTTAATTTAAAATCATCCACAATTTAATATTTTTAGTGCCTAAAAACTCACTAAAAAAAATTCTTGAAATTCCCTTTTTTATAAACTCCATTCAGAAGCCACTTAAAAGTCTGATTCAAACTAAAAAGTCCTCTTTATGTTATAGAAAAATATACAATATAGAGGCCGAGGAGTCAAATAACAAGTCACTAAAATTTCCACTGATATATTTGAGAGATACAAAAGGGCCAACAAGTTTAGGTCAAAGTAAATATGCACAGTAACCTAAACTAGTTCCAAAATCGCATTTTATGATTTTGAAGATTGCAGAGAAACATAGTGTCACTGCCACTACAATTTACATAACTTATTGAATGCTATTAACCACATTCGTTTAGTAAAACGCTAGTCCAACTCAAATGCCAATAATCTTGTGATAGAATGAAATTAGTATATCAGGTAACGTATCAAGAATATGCTGATTATTTTACATTTTGAATATATATTTGAAAACACTGTATGCTTTTTTTTATTTTTTTTTTTGTAGTAACCTACAGTGTTTCTTGGTGGGTATTCTTCACAAAACTACAAAAATTACAAAGCAACAAAAGCACAAACAGTCTAAGCCACCTAGAACCTCACTGTAATTTTTAATAGTTGTGTGATAAAACTTGAGTTTTTAATAATAAAGGGTGTCCAGCTTCCCGTCAAAATAAAATTAAGGACAATTTCAGGATTCCTTGGTTCAAAATTTCCAGGACTACAAATTCCGTCTAACATAAGAAAAAAAAAATTACTTGTTCATACTTTCTAGTACAACACAAAAAAATTCTCCAACCATTATCTTTGGATGTAGAAGCATAGCAGCCACTTATACTAGTGTTGAAGGACTAGTTTATTGAAGTGAAAATATCAACAGTCGTCTTCTTAAGCCTACAACATGTCTACAGTCAAAGATGAATACAGTAAATATATACATATAACAATACAACATAAATAACACCTTATACTAGTCAAGAGTCAAATACATTTCACACATTTTTTAAAATTACACTTTAAACAATAATCTTACAAAATAATGAAATAGAACAATTTACATAAAATGTTTTATTACAGATAAAAACTTATACATAGGATTTGGAAATTGAATATGACAGGGGAAATTGTCAATGACCACAGGTTACATATTTCAAAAACTTACAGACAAAACAATGAAATAATACCATCTAGAGAGTTTTATTACAGATAAAAGCATAAATAAAATTTGGAAATGAAGGCATAGTAAAATGTCTGTAGACAATAGGTCATTAGAGTAATAAATAATAAAATACAATAGCTTTAAACTTACAAATACAATGACAAAATAACACAGAATTTAGCCTTGAATCATAAACCCAAGTGTTTCTACTGATTGCATTGACTTATAGTAATCTAGAGCTAATGTTCACAAGGACAAGTCATGAGCCTGAATTGTTGTTCATTTCATTCCTCTCCAGCTAAGCTCTTAATTAGTTCAGACTCTAGGATTGGAGAGCAACTGACTTTCTGCAGTTTTGGTGACTCGTACTTCCTTCTTACAGACTGAAACAAAAATACATTTAACAGCATTTTTTTAGAATAGCAGGCTTACTTGAATGCAAAAGAGTCCAAACTGGTACAGGATATAAACAAAACTTTATACACAAAACATTGTACACAACTATTTCACTGTCGCTAACAGCAATTTCAACTAAGGTTAGAGAGAGTTTTCTTTAGGTCCAATGTAATTAAATTGATTTTAGACCTAAAGAAAACTCTCTCTTCCTTGTTTTAAAATGTGGTCAGTGACAGTGAAATATGCCAATGCTTTTGGAATAAAATGTACTTTCAGCAACAAATTTTCATATTAAGTTTTTTTCTAATTTAAACATGTAGGCTAAAAACAAAACATCATCATTAATCTCATTAATATTTCTATCACTTTGCCACTTTAAAAACATGGAATTATATATTTTTTTATTTCAAAATACATTACTGTGTCATTTTGTGTTAATATAAAAAAAATGCAATATGAGCCACATTGTATTGTAAGCAACAAAATAAAAGGATGAAAGCAATTCATAAAAAAATTAAAAATTTCATGAATTACTAGGCCTGTTTCAAGATATAATCAAGGATCACCAATATTTTGTCTTGCTTGTACAAAATAAAAGACTAAATAGAAGATTGATTTAAAAAAATATAAAACCCTTTCAATTGAGATAGTTGGCTTAAGTTTACCTGGTGCTTGGAGATTCTGGCCTTTAGTATAATAGAGGCCATCACGGGAATCAGTGGTTTCAGGTGCTCAAACGTGTAGGTGGAATACTGAACCAGCGTATTGGTCCAGATCTCTTCAGCTTTCTTCTTTTCATCAGTGATCCTAAAATTTAACGTAAGATAAACAGTTACAGGGGTTAAACTTAGGGCCCTATTACACTTGGTCACCAGGCGACGTCACCGATGGCATTGCCGGTTACTGTACGGGCAGCCAGCCTCAACACCAGAGAAGTCACCAGGAGTGAGACCAACCCCAAAGTTTCTCCACTCCAGTGTCTACATACATTCAGCGCTGTCACCTCGTTGAAGGACAAAGTACTCTGTTATCCTCGTCTTACCTCTTCAGTGAATAAACGGGGAAGAGATGCAGGGAAAGGAAAAGGGAAAGAAGACTCAGTAAAAGTAAGCCAGTCTAGTGTAAAATGTAGTGGTGAAAAAGATACCACTACATTTTCCTTGGGGGTGCACGTACATTTTCCTTGCTCGTTTCCTCCATTTCCTCAACAAAAGAACAAGAATTAGCATTTCTTCATATTTTTCCATCAGTACGTCCACCCACTACACTGGCAACAATCTCAACTTGCAGAACACAAAAATACAGTGGTGACGCAACACCGGTGACTGTGTGTAATATGTGCCATTTGATTCAATGCCCAGCGACAAATCTTGGTCACCAGTGGTTACTCGTCTGGTCACGGGGCAGAGTCACCGGTCAGTCAACAAAGGCTAGTGCCGCAACCGGTGACCCTAGTGTAATGGGCGCCATAAGAACCAGTGCCCACCAACTAGTCTGGTCACCGGTGACGTCGCCTGGTGACGCCACCTGTTACGTTGCCTGGTGACCAAGTGTAATAGGGCCCTTAATAAGCTAATATAAATAGTCAAATTTGCAAAATTAGTAACTTACTTTCCTGTAATTTCAAGGGATAAAACTAAAGCAGGAAGAAAAAAATGTCCTGTTTGGAACTCTTCCTTGTAGTTTTTTAGTGTCCAGCTAGATGAATTTTTTAATTATTAAAATATGAAAAACCCTTATAATATTTTTGGTTACGTACCTTGACGTTCACAATTCTTCAGTCGATCTTCTATTGACTGAATTGTGGACGCCAAGGTACGTAACCTGTTATAATGTTGTTAACAACGCTCTAAAACTTTGGTAGAGAGTTCTGGGACACCCTGTATATTTATACTAGCTGTTGCCCATAGGCTTCACCCCCGTTTGACTTCATAAGTTAAGTATTAATAAAACTATTGATTGGTTAAGCTAAGCTGAAGCTGAAATAAACAAAACAGAATACAGTAATACAAACAAATAATCACTCCTGATTTTAATAAGGTAATAAATTGAAAAAAATTACAAACAAATAAGTACAGCATAGGCATTTTTAACATTAGATACATGGAAAGTGAAGAAAAATCCTTTAGAAAGGAATTAAGACCTTAAAGGGCAATTTATGGATAATTTTGCACAAGGTTTCTTGTCATGACGAACATTTTAAGTAAATGGTTTATGGGGGTGTGACATAGTTTTCTAAAAGTTCATGTACTTTGGGATTTATATATGGATACTAATACCATATGGGTTTTCTCTTTAAAACATTCCTTTTTCGCCTGTCCTACTTAACCAATTTCACGATTTAGGTGTAATTTTTTAATGATTGTGAATGTGATCTAACGGAGTGATGAATGGTAACTAAAAATATCATTTAATGGGCCTTTGCCCCCCTAAAATTTGATTTATTTCTAGAGATCACTTTTAGATATCCAGTGATGCTGAACAACATTTTTTATAACGGTTTTAAATGTGAATTGTGATTTAGTACAGCTGATCTTTCTAACAGTTATGGGCAAGAATGTAGCATGTGAAGGTTGTATACCTGAGCGCTATGTAACTAGCTACTGCAGCCACCATTGATGGCTTCACATGAACCATTTGGTAGTCCACAAGAGCCAGTTCCAGGAAATACTTGGCGAAAGAATGCTGCAACGGCGTGGCCTGTAAAAACAACTGTAATGTAATCTATAATACTTTGACTTTATTCTAATAAAAGATTTTTACAAATCACAAATTTCATAATGACAAAGCTATGGTTGTGTTGATTGGGAACCAAGCCCCACTTCTCATCTACATAAAGGGATAGCAGCTAGCTCACATTAGAACAAGTGCAGGTAGGCCATATAACTCACAGAATACTTACAAAACACACAATTTTTGATCACCTAGTGGATCTTTTCCAGTGTCAGCAAAGTGAGTTCACAAAATCCTGGCATAAAGCTTTTCCTTGAACAAAATTCTCATGTACCTCATGAAATGAAATTGCAGTTTAAAGAAAAGGTAAATTGAAGAAAAGATATTGATAATTTTACTACCGGAATTTTACCCCTGGCCAGATATAGAAATAAGTGAGAATGATTAATTTTCTTCTTTTAGTTTTAATTTAATAGTAAACATTTTATTATTATATTCTATCTTAATTTATATGTAACCTTAACTAATTAAACAGGTTTTGGATTTTAATTTTTATATTCTAGTTTAGGGATTTGGTTTTTGGGGACAACTGTTGGTTAATATGTATATACAAACATTTGGGTTTCCTTGCAGTAGTCAACGCAACAATTGGTCGAATTCTTTGTACCGGATGCCTACAACTTCATTTTACAACAGGTATTTCGATGACATTTTTCAGTAAAAACCATAAATAGCTCATGGTTTGTGCCTGAAGAAACAAAAACGCATATTGTGTTATTGTACAACAGAAACGAAATAAATAGGTTTTCCACAGCAGTATAATAAATCGTCTAAAAAATTTCACCCAATTATCATTTAAATGAGATGCTTAGTTTATTATACATACATATTAACCAACAGTTGTGCCCAAACCCTAATCCCGAATATCAAAATTAAACAGCGAAACCTGTTTACTTAGTTGAGATTACAAAAAAATTAAAATAGGCTACCGGTACTTAATAATACAATATTTTGTAGTGATGGTCAAAACTAGAGGTGTGCGGATATCCGAAAAATCGTGTCGGATTCGGTTCCCAAATTCAATATCCGACACTATCCGTTATATATCCGACTTTTTCGTATAGACAATATATTTTGACGTTTTGGACAGAAAACTAAATCTCCATAACCATCATTAGTTTCCCAGGACAAAATTACAGCAATACGTTTCCAACGACCTAACAGCAAACGGCAAAGAAGCCGTATGATGCAATACCGATAACTAGTTTAGTCGTTATCGGCTGTTTTGCTTTACGATTAGATTCACCTGGAACGAACAGACATAAAGCAGAAAAGAACTACCATGGTCAAATGAAAGTCAACTTGTGCTAGTCTCGCTCCTGACACTAGGGGCGCTGCGTAATAGTTTTTTTTTACAGTACTGTTTCAAAGTAGAAAAATCTAGCCTACTACTGTGATCGTCATCTCCCGCGGTCACGGAAAGGTCATCGTCGTCTCCCGTGGTTTCTGAAAAGTCATCGTCGAGGTCCACTATCGCGGCAAAATCGTGAATATTTCCTGAGGCCGTGAGAACAATCATCATTGGCTTTCGCGGTTACGTAAACGGAAGACGACGATCGCGGCAAAATCATAAAAATTCCCGACTTTGAAATCAAATTTAAGACTAAATCCCGAAAGACCATTTTAAAATTCAATACTAATTCCCGACTTTCCCGACTACTAGACACCCTGTGTGATGTTACGTAAACAATAGATTTAATATTTCCAAAAAAAAAGTCCGAATGGAAACAATAGAAAGGCAACACAATAGAAGGGTGGGAGGGGTTGGGCAATGACCTCGAAAGGAGCGCGGGTAGGGAGTCAAGTAGGACCGGAGGGGGAAGGGGTGGGTAAGACCTTGAAGCTATATAGACTTGCACTACACTTCCCTAAACCTAAAGGACTGGCCGGCGAGTGGTATTCCAATCACAGGACAAGATACGTTGTTTTTTGGGTATTCATTGCCCGGTTTGACTTTGGATTGTCTTATTGTGTAAAAACTTTGAATAATAAAAAATAAAGTTAGAACTAACCATGATTATTTAGCATTGATTGTGTACATATTAAATGATTAAACGATAGGGACCATGGAGATATACAAACTTTTGTCTGATTTAAATTTCATCATCAAAATACAATATTGCACAATCGTGATATTTTAGGTCATTGCCCTTTATTATGCATCCCTCCGGTATTGCTGTTTCAGAAGAGAAGCACGTTGATAAATTATAAATTGATATTACCGTAGTTAAAAAGAATTATTTTATAAACCTATAAAACAAAATCATAAAATCTTACATAAAGATAACAATAACAGAAATTGTAAAAAGGGTATAAAGATAACAACGTCATTATTCTTTCTCTTTGTTCTTCTTTTTTTGGGTTTCCCTTCATCATGCATTCAACAAGTTGCCATGGTTACTAATCCCATGTCGTTATCAGCTTTTGTGACATAGCGCACAGCAGGGGGTAAAACTTGACGAAAATCGGTTAATTTTTACCTATTATTTAATTACCAATGAATGTACTTGGTATTTGGTACTGTATTAATAATCGGTCAAAATGGACGATTTTTGTCAAATTTTACACAAAATTTATTGAAATTTCAAGGTGAATATTAATAAAACAATTATTACCAAATATTTGTATTCATTTAAAAGATTGATTTGTGGTATTGGGTTCCCCACTGAGTGCAGCCGAGCGTCACTAATGAGGGTCGAACCTTCTTGGGGAAGAACAATAGACGGCTTATCAGACCTGACCCTCCCCAGTGGTCTGGAGAAAGCTTGTAAACAAACTATTGCACAAGCGTGACTTGACATTAGGCTGCTTCAACTCTAATTTTGTCAAATGAACTGTGATGTTTCAAAATCAAAAACAATAATTTGGGACTATACTGCATAAAAATAATGGACGGCAATTGTTGAACATACAATCCATTTTAAACAAACTAAGATTATACGATTCAAATACAATTATAAAAATTATCTTGGTATTTTACTTGGGGTAATGAAGTTATGTAGGCTAGTGTAATTCTCGGTTCATCAAGGTTCTACTGAATTATGTTTGGCAGTGAATAAGTGTAGAATGAAATTTATAAATTCAGGGATAACACACACCTTTTACACAGTTATAAAGCCTAATTGCCCAAAATCGTGAGCTAGAGCCCAGCTTAGTGCATTAGTGATGTTTTCTTAACTTGGCAAACCCGCAAAATGCCACTTAAGGCCAGTAATCCGTTCCAAAAACGTAAGGAAATACAATGTGAAAATAAACCTGAGATTGAACTCCTTGTCTTGTGAGAACCAGGAAACAACATAAAACATAACCTCAAGTAAACAAGCCCAAACGTTTGACATCAGTCCTGCTGAGCTAAGGTGTTGTGTGAAGATTTCGGCTGCTAGTGTACTTAATTCAAGCAACCAACTTTTGAAAATAAATGTTGTGAATTGTGATTTTCAAGAGAGAGAAAACTGTGGACTTGGCTAATTTGAAATTCTATAGTTCAAAATCGTCATTTAAGTTGATTTACACAGCTTTACATTGTTTTATAGGTTAAAAATACATATGCAGCTTATTATTAACCGCGCCGAACTATCCGAATCCGAAAATATCTGAATCCGAACCTCCCAATATCCGATCCGATCCGAACCGAGCCTCAACTATCCGATCCGAAATGAAATTTCACTATCCGCACACCTCTAGTCAAAACCAGAAATTTCGAATCTGAAAACCAAAACCGAAACTTTAAAAAATCGAATCCTGAATCTCAAAACCCTAACGCGAAACCTTTTTACTTAGCTGGTTACAAAGGTTAAGGTTACAGAAAAAATGCAGGTAGGCCTAATAATAACATTTCAAATTAAATCAAAACTAGAGATGTGTCGCTGCAGCTGGAACTACATTTATCCACCGTTCCGAGAGTGGAACTCGTTCCACCGTTCCAAGCGGAACCACAATCCAACTTTTTCAGCTGCAGCTCGGTGGAACCACGGTGGAACGATTTGAATGTAGTTCCGCACAAACAGCTGCAGCCTTTTTGTAAATTTTTAAAGATAAGTTCCGGAGTAACTGGATTTGTAAAACACATAGTTACAACAAAACAGCTGCAGCTGGTTTATTTATACTCTCACTAAACATTAAGTTCTAGATGGTTCTAGCCTGTGCAGCTGATGCGTTAGTCTATTGTAAACAAAGGTTTGATTAGCGGATATGGTTGACATGCCTTAAAAGAAATTATTCATTTTCTGTTTTTCATTTTTTCAGGCAGGAATTTAAAGTACATAAGTCCCAGTTAAGTCGTGCTCATAATATATACAAATTTAATTATCTCTTCCTCAGTAATCAGTACCGTAATAATTGTTTGTGTTTAATTTAATTAAGGATTTTTTTGCTATTTAGAATTTTATATTAAGAGTTAGTGTAAGTTAAGTGGTGTTTGAATAATATTATTTTAACAATAAAAAAATGTATAATATGAATAAATGCATAATATGAAGAACCTCTAAAATAATTTATACCGGCCTTGTCACGTATTATTTTTAGACCCTAGATAGAAAAACTAAAATAATTAATTACTTGTACAACATTTCCAAAACACGATATTGATTTCTTTACAGCCGCTATTTTGCATTATTTAAAACAATAATATTGTAACTCAAGAACAGCTTAAACTAATCCGTCTCAAATTATGGCAATAAACTGAGATTTTATTCATCCGCCCTTTTGCCTCGTTCCACTACCACTACAGCCATAGCTCCGCTGCAGCGGGAAAACCCGCTGCAGAAACCAGCTGCAGCTGGAACTGCTTTTGGAACGAGTTCCACGGCGACCTTGGAACTAGCTGCAGCTGTTTCGCCCAAGTAACTGCTTGGCACATCTCTAATCAAAACTGAAAAAGGTTGACTCATGACACTGACATAATAACATAAATATGTGACTGACATATAAACTAAACACATACCAACATATTTTTTTCTGAAATTAAAATAAATTAAACTCCTGACACCAACATAAACATGAATATTAGACTAATTAGAACATTTAGAGGCTAATATATATTGTTATGAAACTGAGTTGTTGTCTAAGTTCAGAATACAATTTACTGTATTTGCTCTATTGCTATCAGCTAGTGTGGAAACAGTGGTAAAAATTATAATAATGATGCAAAAAATGTCAGTAGATTCAAGAATAAAACTGCCAAAATCTTCAATTTTGAAACTTTTGAATCTCAAAACTCGGTGATCGAATCTCGAAACCGAAACTATTCCAAAGTTTTGATGGTTGAGATTCGGTTTTGACACATCACTAATATTTTATATTAAATTAAAACTGAAAGAAGAAAATAAATCATACTCAATAATTTCTTTATCTGGCCAGGGGGTAAAATTCCGGGGTCAAAATTCCACAGGTAGAAATCCGGGCAAGTTGCCTAAACGCTAGTTATATGGACAGCGGGTAAAATTCTGGTTTTTATTGCTAATCTAATTTAATTTATCATGCTCTGTCTATTTTCATTAGACTTCCAAATCCGCAGGGGTAAAATTCTGTCCGCGAACAAACTTTAGAGTGCTCAGGTTACTACGTCATAGTGACGTCAGCTTTGCCCAGGGGATAAAATTCTGGCGACCCTAATGATAAAATAAGGAATGTTCCTGACTACTATTTCAAAGAAATGGAAAACCATTTCCTCACCTATAGTATGCATTTGCACTTACAAAGGCTGCTTTGCTGTATCGTCGTAGGAATTGCAGTGACAGAGGTCGTCCAAAGGCAAAATCCAGTTTTCCACAGATGCCTTTCTCCATCATGAGGATTTCTTCCTTGGTGAACGAGTTGTCAGTGATGTATACAAAGTCGGAGATGTCTGGTGAGTAAGTCTCCTCGTACTTGCAAGCCACAAGCATTGCAGACACCCCGACCAGCTGCAGGTGCTCCTTGTCTATGGAACTCACTTTCTGCAACATCAAGTAGGATGGAGATATGGTTGCAAACCTAATTTAATCATTCTTGCCACCAAGACTGATATGTGAATATGATAGGTTAAGTACAATTTCCCTAAGCTTACACTGTGAAAATTAGATATCAGAGGTGTATAAACAAACAATAGGTCACACAACACTGAAAGAAAAGGAATTCATATGCAGCATCTAGGAGTTTTCAGGATTTTTTTTTTGTGAGGATAGCAGACTTAACTGAATGGGTCCAATCTGGCTCAAGAAACACATCACATTACACTATACACAAAGCATTAGAATATTTGAATGTTTCATTTCACAGTCACTTACTGAATTTTTGTTTCAGTATGAGTATAAGAGATGGTTTTCTTCTGCCCAGGACTGAATATTCTAACGTTTTGTGTAGGCCTTACCTATAGTGTAAAGTGTTGCGTTTCTTGTGCCAGTTTGGACTATTTCCCAAGCCTGCTATCTTCAAAAATAAATCTTAAAAAACCTAGGCCCTTGGGCTCTATGGTGCATTCCATGAGTTAGTTGGTTAGTTCATATAATTCTTTTTCCCGAGCTACTGTGATAATCTTTTAAATATTTAAACACAAAAAAATATTTTACTGCTTGTTTAAAATCATACACCACTACACCAGTCTTTATTTATAGGCTAGGTAACTAAGTCACTAAATTAATTCCTTGCGAAGTGTGATTGTTGAACCAATTTTATTTATTTTCTGGAAACCCTTTATTTAAATAGATTGTTTGATGTCATTCATGCTGGAGGCCTAGTCGTGTTTTTGAACAAGTTTTCAAAACAGTTAAAACAGTGTTCAGTTATCAAAACACTAAGCCACAAGTTATCTTTAGAAAGTAAATCGTATAAAAAATTAAACACCGCTTTAAGTTGTACCACTACGGAAGTAACTTTTAGTGCGTTGTCAAATTTGTTTTCTTTTGAGTTCAAAGCTGAAGATCCAATGCAAATATTTCTATTCCTAACTTAACCCTCAGACCTAATAAACGCTACAGTAGTGATTCATATTTTAGTTTCACAAAGCAAGTCAGGATTAGGTCAGGTAAGGAAGAGTACAGTAATGGCAAACATTTTGCACCACGGCCTCACTGGCTCACCAGCAGAGGGGGAGCAGTATACTTCCTCCTGTTTTATGTTGTGTTTAACTTTTGTCAACAACTCAAAAAGTGGATTTTTGGTAAGCCTATCAATAGTGGAATTGTAACGGCCAAAACACATGTATCAAGTTTCACCTCATGTTTCCCTACATGTTATGGATTATCTGATGATTTACATATTTTAGTTATTACTTGTAACTAAACGCAATCCTAGAGCTATAAAAATGGGACTAGCTCATAACACAAAGTGAGATTTACCTGCAGGAACATGTCAGTGATGGCGACGCTCAGATGTAGAGTTTCAGGAAACAAATGATACTGTTGTTGTACCTCTACCAGCCAATCTACCAGTGTAGCTCTCATCCTGGGAGTCACCAGGCGTCCTGCCAAGTAGTTCTCAGTGATTGCACACTTGGCCTACAGACATAGTCATCATCTCAGACAAACAGCTTTTAAACAAATAATATATACTAGGTGAAACCCGTCGAAATCGACGGTCACTGTCAACGCTTACGCTAATTATTCATCTACGGAAAGTTAGGTGTAGTGGAATATACTTGAAGTGAAGTTGGCTTTTACTCTTGAACTGTTAGGGACCTCCTCGTTTATATGGTTGTGCGGCTTCATTGGCAACAAATAATTCAATTTAAATAACAATGCGGCATTTGGAAAAAGCAATAAATACTGTAAATTGGCTGTTACGTAAATATTGACGTTTACATGTATTGTTAAACAACGTATCTTATAAAGGATGATGTGATCTAGTTTAAAAGGAATATGACCTTTCTGTCATGACAGTAGCTGCTTAAATAGTATTTACTCTTTGTGCCTTTTTTACAGCAAAAATGTTGTGTTATTTTAAATCATGTTATAAACCCAGTGAGCCACGGTCCGTAATATAGACCACTTCAAATAATTTGTCAAGATAGGTACCATTTTAGGCCAGGTTTCTGTGTTTGGATGTTATTACACACGATATTGTATTACACAATCGAAGATTTTTCCAATGATTGAAAACATGTATAACAATAATCTCGTGAACCTATGATGATCTGTAGAATAATATGATAAAATATAGGCAAAATTGGGGGAAAATGCAGACAACAACCCGTACAGCAGATATAAGATAGTTCAATAAGAAATTATTGTAAGAGTTCTGTGAGTTCTGTGAAGGAATTTCCACTGATTTCGTAATGGAATGTTATATTGCAAAACATGACATGATACAGAAGAAAATAAATTTTAAAATAAAAAAATAGCATTGCAAATACTTCTTTTGGACAATTTAGTAACTCCCAATAAATGTGAGTTGTTTAAAACACAATTGAAATATCAACAGCTGTTTCATTAATAAGTATTATCCACTTGGCCAAAATGTAAACAAATTTGTCGAGGTATCTTTAAAGGCTTCTGGGGCAGAGCCCTAAGGGAATTTACTTCGTGTTTCTTTTGATAACTCATCTACAGACCAAGGCCTTTCTTTGGAGACCTCTACCAAGTTTCTACGTCCAGCCGTTCTCTCAAATTAGTGGAGACAAAGTTTCCAATTAAATATTTAGATTACCCCATGTTAATGTTATGGGAGAAAACCCAACTTTGATGGAAGATCCTGCCCAAACTAATAAAGATTTCAAAAAACCAAAAACACTTTGCAAAACTACAAATCAGGGCCATTTTTTTTACACTTTAATTATCAAAATCGGTCCAAAAATGTGGGAGGAGTTCTGTTTACAAAAATCGGCTTAGCGTATTATATATATAGATATATATATATATATATATATTTTGAGTCATTGTCAAAGTCAAATCATTTATTTTCACACAACGTTTTACAGATCCAGCATAGCTGGGAAACAGGTGAAATGGTCAAGGACAATTAAAATACATAAAACTATAATAACTATACAATAAGCTAAGAAATCAAATATATACATAATTTAAAAAATCATTAACTTTGTAATACCCTTTATTAAGCAGCAATTTGGTAACTTATTTTTTTATTTTTCAAGAGATTCTAATGATTTAATATTATCAGGCAGTTTATTATACAGTTTTTTCCCTAGATATTGTGGAAGGGTTTCAAGTGAGGTAAGTCTATGAATGGGCAGTTGTAAATCATTTCGATGTCTAGTTAAATAATTATGGTTACTAGAGGTCGTCCAGTGGTCGAAACTCGACCAAAAATATTTAATGTACAGACTTCTTTATTTTCATTCCACACTTTGAATAGAACATGTGATTGGAGTTTCTTCCATTTGTTTTGATTTTCTGTTTATATTTCGTTGTTATTTCGTCACCAGCATGGCAACTCATAATATCCATGTTGAATTTTTCAAAATTTTAAATTCATTTTTTGTGCTTATTTTTGAGCCTATTTTAATTTATAAAGGGATTCTGCACACCTACAGGAAAATAGCTTTCTAACAGTATGCGTAGATTTTCCCTACGATGCACACGAGCTAAGAAAAAAAGGTTTTAAAGAAACATGCTTGCCTATTAATATATAGATAGATAGATGGTTTTCATTCATAAATGATTCAAGATTTTTTATCAAGATTAATGTTTGCAGGATATAAACTGACGGAAGTGTTAATATTTTCAATTCTCTAAATAATAATTTACAGGATCGCCTAGGTTTTGAAAATGGCATAATTCTAAGGATCTTTTTTTGAATTTAGAAAATGGTTTCGGCATTTGAGCAGCTGCCCTAGAACTCTATTCCATACAACATGTTTGACACAAACAAAGCATAATAAACAATCATCCTTGTCCTGAGGTCAGTAACATGCTGCAGGACAGATATCTGAAAACAGACTGTATTAAGTTTATTCGCTAGGACTGATGTGTATTTATCCCAATTTAAAGTGTTTTGTACCTGAATGCCTAAAGATTTTGTAGATGACGTTTCATTAATAATACCTCCCTGAAAATTAATATTTAATTCGATAGTTTCTCTGTCATGAGTAGTTTTGAACCTAATAATTTGAGTTTTAGAACAATTTAGACTCAGCCCATTTGCTGTGAACCATTTGTTTAAATCTTCAAAAGTTTGGTTTATCAAATTTTGTAAATTGTTGGGGCTGTTGATTTTAATATAGCTGTTGTGTCATCTGCGTATAGAACAAGCTTTGAGTTTATGTTAAAAGGCAGGTTGTTAATATAGATTAAAAACAACAAGGGTCCCAATATAGATCCCTGAGGTACACCACAATAGATCATTTTCCATTTTGAAAAGTTATTGATGTTATCTTTAAAAATAATAGTTCTTTGAAAGCGGTTTGTAAGATAGAATTTCAACAACTTCAAAGCAATTGGAGAAAAAATGTAAAATTTAAGCTAAGAAAATAAAATTTTATGTACAAAACAGACAAAGGCTTTTGACAAGTCACAAAACACTCCAGCAATATTCTGAGACTTATCAATGCTGCAACCAACCTCCCACAAGAAGTCAGACAGAGCCTGAGTTAGGCTGCGTTTACATTGGAGGCACGCTTGGGCAAGTAAAATGGTGGCGCACGCTTGGCCAAGCTTGCCCTTTGAAACAAAATTGTAGCAGATTACTGGAAACCGGTGGTGACTTGACCAGTGGTGGTTACAGTGCTCGCCACTAGCAAGCGCACGCTGGGACAAGCTTGCGCTTCTCAAATCACGAAACAAAAATATTTGTTTCTACAAGCAAGCGTGCCTCAGTTTGTTGTGGTTCACCGACACAGTAGCATCGGTTGTGTCTGTTGGTAAAGTGTTTATAGTTGTTCAGCATGGATACGGAGGTGTTGATTGATGCTGTTCGTGCAAGAAGACCAATTATATAGGATAAATTAGTTTCAGGCTACAACCAGGGGTTCCCATTGCCTAATTAATGATTGTAATCCAAGTATTTTTCCACCAGATTTTAGTGATTAATTTGATTTCTTGAACAGTGGAAAATAACACAGTTATAATTTGTTTTTATTCACAACATAATGTAATAACACACCCCCTGGTTTTAATCATAAAGAAAAATAATTTAAATTACTTTATGACTTGTAATGCAATTAACTGTCAAAATTAAATTGTTTTCTCCTAAACTTAATTGCCTTCATTATGTACTACAATATACCCTACCAATAAGGTAAATAATTCATTAACAATAATGGTAGCACAAGTGTAAATATATTTGATTAAATTACGCAAGTCGTAGGCTTATTTGAATTGTTAGCAATAACTACTACAATAATACTGTACATATAATGCTTTTCAATATTTGGTGTTATTCTCTCTAAAATGTAGTAACATGTTTCTGGCATCATTCTAAAATATTCATAAAACTTATCTGGCTGTTGCAGAAGATCAACAAAAATCCGGGCATACTCCCTTCCTTCTTCTTGATCCATAAAAAAATCATTTACCCATTCCCCCCTTACTCCTTCAGAGTCTAATAATAAAAACTTTAAAACTCCATTCTCTAGCACAATATCCTCATCGTCTGACATGTCAATTTTGACTGTACTGTCCTGCTGAGACTAGTGGCACTTGCGCTTGGTTGCTCGTAGTATAACCACAACTTCGGACACGGCACGCTTGCGCAAGCGTGCGCTACCATTTTACTTGCCCAAGCGTGCTTCCAATGTAAACGCAGCCTTATATTACGTCCTGATCTAAAGCCACATTGTTCTTTTAAAATTTTTTTATTACTTTCAAGGAAAAAATAAATTTGCTCAGTAATAATTTTTTCAAAAACTTTTATCCAAAAACAATATTCCTGGAGCCGCCCCTGGTTAATCAAAGGGAGGTGGTAAAGCACTCTTCCAGGAAATGTAGGCCTACAGCTTTCTAAACTCTTTAGTTTATTCTTTAAACTATGTACTGTTTTCTTTATCCCTCTGATATTACTGGGGAGTATTTTTTTTAAATAATAGTATCTTATGTAGGATGGCTTTTTCATAGTTGTAGGGAATTTTTAATAAGACTGATTAATAACCCAAAATTGACTTAACTGGTTTTTTTGCAACAAAGATAAACATCAGGAACAAAAACATTCTAAATAACAATTGAAAGGCCATACAGTATGTTATATAAAATAAAATATGTAGTAGAAGTCATTATAGTTTCATATATGAACAGTCATAATTATTAGTAACGGAAGAGTTATTATGTTTTGCGGGGTGGCTGCACTGTGCACTGGGCCCTGAAGTGGGATGATTCGTCACGGCTCCTTCTTCTATGTCCACCAACGAACGTAAGTGGTTCTCTTGCTATATCGTCCACTTTTCTAGCGTAACGTTAGGTTACGACATTTTGGCGCAGTCGGTAATAAACCTTTTTATCATAGTTAGGGTAGTACGCGATAACAGTTGTTGTTTTAGTGCGTATTATAGTTGAGATGATTAAAAATGGCGAGTATTAGTGTTGGCAGGATTTCTGAATTTAATCCAAGT